GCCGACATACGTTGGTGAGTTCCGACCGCGGCAGTCGTCCGCTGACGTAATAAAGTGGTGTTATGATAATAATATTTTATTATACTATAGACAACAATGGACGACAGATAACATATATGAGCCGGGGACTGATGAAGACGTGTGTCTCGAGCCTAGATTATAATACGTATTACACTCAGTACAATATAATAATAGCTGCTATTATTATTGTTGGGTTTGAACAAAATAAAAAAAACACTACCTATAGGTACCTATTATACATATTATTGTTTCACGAATAAATCACGTGAGTATTGGCATAACTAGGACCATTTTTTGAGGGGAGGGGTATTTTCATAATATTTGCAACAAATCACGAAAGTAAAAACACAATCATTTAAGTCTCATAATCTTTTTAACAATAATTCATACATGTACCATGCTCATCATACTACATATATTATCAGACTTCACTGGATAATCTCAAACAGAATAATCGAGTTACTAAAATCTTTCTCACAAGACATAGGTAATGGCGTGCTTACCTGTAATATAAAACGCGTAGTCTATAAATTTTATCTTACAGTCCCAATTCATTTATATACCAAATTACCAAAATCATAAATATTATAAATTAAAAACAAGTAACCAAAGTAACAAAAAATAAGGTCCCAAGGGGTTATATGTCACCCACATCACCCCCCCCCCCCCCCGTAGTTAAGCCGCTACATACGACTATAACATATAATAATATGTATTTATGAAGTATTAGTTTTGAAATGTTTGGTACAAACAATGTGAGGGGAGCAGCGGGGATAGTTGTCACATAATTCAAAATACCATCTTGAGGAAAAAAAAATGTAGTACTTATAATATGAAGTCAGAATACATATTTTAATTTTTACTAGTCACATCATCACTGGGTTAGTGTTGTCCCAGGTAAATCAAATGAGAAGCCACATACAATTTAAACTTTTAGTTTTCAATGTTAAATTTAGGACAAATTTTCGAATTACTCAATACAAATATATATAATCCAATAATAACTGTTGTAAGTAAACAACAAATTTAAATCATATTTAATATGAACCTTTTAAACACATGTGACAACAAGTTAAATAAGCACTTCGTATATTTGACAATAAACTCCAATTTCCTATTTTATAACAAATTAACTTTATTAGTTATCATAATTTTCCAATAACAATTTTGCACACCAAAATATATGCATAACAAAAATATATACACTGGTTAATTTCAAAGTTAACTGCAATAATTAAAACGTTAGTTAAAAGTATATTTATGGAAAAAAAATACTCAATAAATTAAAACTCATCATACGACTAAAATTAGCCCATAACCGAGATAAAAAAATTATTTTCAATGCGATAATGTACAGAACACAAAACATGCAATTTAGTTTCAGAGTTATTAACATAAAGTGAAAAACTAATTTTTATTAGGGTATATTTTTTCTAGATATTTTTAGATATATTGTATACCATATTACCACGTGTTCATATACCTAGTTATTAAAACATAAACAAGACAATTCTATAGAATAATTGGTTATTATCTAATATAATACTGAGTCTAATTTTCGACTGGCCAAACTTCCCTCCGAGTAGAAGGGATAAGGTAGTTATAAACAGACTCCGCATTGGCCACACCCGACTTAAACATGGATACCTCATGGACAGAGGAGAAAAACCACAGTGCATTTCTTGTGGAACCGAACTTTCAGTTAAACACGTAATCACCGAATGCCTTCAATACGCAGATGAACACAGATACTTCGCAATACACAACACACTAGATGCAGCCCTCGGACCAGACGCAGAGACCACCATACAAGTCCTTAAATTCTTAACCAAAACTAATCTATATAATACAATTTAAGTCTAACTGTAAAAAAAAATGCTATTGTAAGCAATATTTTAACTAATGGCCTTTGTCGCCGATGTTAATTAAGATCAATAAGAAAAAAAAATAAAAAAATACCGAGTCAAAACAAATTATGTTGACGTCGAAATAGTTTCAGGGGTAACAAAATAATTTAACATTATTTTATGAACTAGTTTAGCTTCTACATTAGAATTAAATCCAAATTAGGTGTCTTCAAATAAATTTCGAATCATTGGCTTAGTATTATAAATATTTTAAATATATATAATATATTGAGTATTATAATATTAACATTTAGGTATCCAACACTTAAGTTATTATTCGAGAAAAACTTTATTATATTCAGCGGTGAGGCCTTTTAACCTTTGTGATTTTTTAGATATATAACCCAAAGTAATATAATTTTCATTGAAGTTTTTAATATAACTGATGAATTCTGTTATATTTAGTATTTAAGTACCTATGACAAAGAGAATCAAAATGTGTATGGTGGTTTACCACAGGTTGTATGGCTGTTTTAAATAGGTAGGTAATTCAATTTTATATAATGACTTACAATGTACAATAACTAATAAGTAATATACTCTTTTAAAGTATTTACCAATCTTCAACAAAATTTAATACTCTTATTATATTTAAAGATTAAAAAAACGGGTAAGTGGGTGTCACTCTGCTGTACAAAAGGTTACAGGTGGATCACTGTAAAGGATGGTGTAAAATTTGGTTCAATGATATAAATATATAATATCGTTGTAGGTATACGAAAAACGATACTTGGGGGAGACGGTTTGTCAGCCAATTTACATTATATATTTTATAATATTATTGTTATTAATAACACAGTAACCGATAAGTTTAATTAATATTATTTGTATGTGTATACGAATATACATTAGAAGTTTCAAGAACCCATGAATAATATTTTTAAAATATAACACAATACTAAAAAGGTCTTCTTCATTTAAAATTTAAATATCTAATTTCGTCCAAATTTGAACATAACATAACTTACTATAAAGTTTTTAGATTTTTTGTTGCCTACTAAACTTACCTAACCTAACTTACTTATGTGGAACCTTATTTTAAATTTTCAATCCTTACCTATAAAAACATTATAATATACATTTTTAACTACAAAACATTTTCAAATGTTTTCAACCATTAAACAGCACAAAATGAATCAAAATATTTTGAAAATGTTATCAAGTACAGGAATTTATGAAATATTTGAATGATGTATATTTCAAGTATCTACAGTTACTCGTTTTTGAATTACTTCAAAATAAGAAAATCGCTGCATAAGAAATCGAATGAATATCCAATGTTGTATAAATTTAATTTCAAACCCTCATAAAAATTTAATTTGGCTTTCCGGTAAATTTTTTTTTTTTTTAAAGGTAGACAAACTTATATTATGAGAATTCTCGTATGAAATTTTCAAATCTTAAATTTATAAGAAAAATTTTTATGAATTTCTAGCTCAAAATAATTTGCACATTTTCATAATTTTTACAATGTGTATGATTTTACAATCAATATTAAAAATCAATTTCAACCACTGAGGATACCTAAAAATACTTCAAGGAAATCATTCAGAATTTTTTGATATGCACGATTGGACGCCGAGCACCACACAATATTACAACATTTCGGACTGGGCCTATAGGCTTTTTTTGTACAATTTTTCGGGCCTGGTCAGGCTGGGCATCGAATAATAAATCAGGGGCTTTTTAAGAATTTTTCTTCTAAAATAAATAATCACAATTGAAAATAATAAATGATAATGATAAAACCGACGTTGGTATAGAATCTATACTATAGATAGATACATATTGAGAATACTCTATGGATAGATACTAGATAGTAGATAAAATCACAATGAATAAAATAATAAATTGATTGGTGGGTATAATAAAGCTATTTATATACCATAATAATTAATAATATTATATTTTTTTTCACAATATTTTTTGGACCAGGCCGGGCCGGGCCTGAGGATAAAATTGATGGACCGGTACCGACCAAAAATGTACGGACCTTGCAGGTCTATAGTATCCATCCTGATAACCAGGGTTGGGATTTATAGCACTTAAAATTGTATCAATAAGCGCTATAATATTACTTTAAACGTTTTAACCATCGCCAAATATGAAATAAAAACAATAAAATATGCAAAAATTGGCATTATAATCACAATTATACGTTCAACCGAAAACAACGTCTATAAATGATAACCAATCTTTCAGTCAAACGTAAAAACCTAAACTACCTTCCCGGGGTAGGTAGGTACTCTAACTAAACATGCAAACCGTTTTTTTCCTCTTCACAATAATATAATATTCATGGGTACCTACATTGTATAGTGCCAATAATATTATAATCTGAACGGGAATATAACATATATATTATTATTATTATTATAATCATATCGTTTATTTTAATGCCATGTACCTACGTGTGCGTGAGTTAATATAGGTTTCGATTGACGATGATTCTATACGCCATATCGAAATAATATTATAACTGCAGTCCGCGCACACAGGAATCGTTAATGGGTTTCAAGCGGCATTTTGGCAACTGCGGACTCGCCCATCTCGCCCGAACCCGGACACGGCCGATCTGAACATATTATGTTTTATAATGCACGCGACGACAGTGTATCGTTATTATTATAATTTAATGACCATCGCATTATTATTGCGTTGGCGAGGCGACCGTTGAAATTCGCGGAAAACGGCATCGACGAATTGGTATAAATCTCGCGCGCGCCTAATAATATTCCGCACCACGATTACGCGTCCAGACCACGTATCAAGTGGACTGGGGGGATAACCCCCCCCCCCCCACACACGACCATCTTACAACGGCAAACTTACGCCCCCCGCCTCTCACCACTGGCAACCCCGTAGACGACTCCCCGTAGGGGCCTATATATACGGGATCGCGATCGGTCACTCGTCCCATTCCACCGCTGATCGCCGAGCAGCCCACTACAACACGTCAAGCTCTGCCCTGCAGCAAGTACGACACTGGACTAAAACCTCCCCCCTCAGTCCAGCATACCGTTTTCGGTTCAAATTTCCAGCCGTAGTACACTGCAGCAGATCTTATACGAAATGGCTAGCCGTTACGCCTCCGCCGCTGCTCTGCTGGTCGTCGTCGCCGTTGCCGCCGTCTTCCAAGCCACGTCCGCCGCTTACATTGTTCCCGAAGGTAAGTTGTTTCCTGAAAATGTATGACGGTTTTGAGTGATTAACTATTAGGGATTTAGATTAAAAACAATAATATGCCCTCCCTCTCTATTCCACCACCGCAAGAAGAGATAGTGTTTTGTGACAATTAATCGCATTTGTAGTGCATACCCATATATACCCATATATATACTTACTAGATAAAATCAAAATGTTTGTCGGGCATAGTGCATTTTTGAAAAGAACCGGAAAGAAATAGTAGGCAAAATGAAATGGCGTAGGTTAAATTTGTTTCTAGAGTAGATTATTTCGTGTGCTCGCATAAAAGTTCTTGTCAAATGATTTGAAATGTTTCCGTTTGTGTTGCAAATCGACCCAGTAAAAGTCGAAGGACGCAGCAATAAAAGACATCACGTTATAATATTTTTGTTCGCCTCCTTACGGACTTTTGTGGCTTACAAAAATGGTATGCATTTTACGGTTAACCTTTTTCGCAGTGGTCATGATGAGGATGAAGCGTAACCCCGAGCCCATGCGATCGTTTTCGTACAGTGGTTTCAACCCCAACGGGCAGATGTCCGCGTTCACCGGTCTGGCCGAGTACCCGATGTTCGGTGGCAGCTTCGGGTCACCGCAGCAGGCCGGTCCGTACAACTACGGGCCGCAGCCGGCCACACAAGACTCTTACGGGCCACCACAGGCCCCTCAAGACTCTTACGGGCCACTGCCGTCGGGCGTTGCTGGACCACAGCAGACACCGTCCGCCGACTCGAACAACAAACAGCCACAACAGTACGGAGGCTCGTCGGCCGCGGGCAGTCAACAGCAACCACAAGAGTACGCTCCGCCAAAATCGGGCGTGCCGGTCGATTCTAGGGAACAGAACAACAACAGCGTGGAACAAGCAGACACCAAGAAACAGCACAGAGGTAAGCGTATCAATTTATTATTCGAGGTGTCAACTCTGGCCGCGCATGACGTGTACGATGATAATAATTGATATTATCCTGAAAATCTCGTGTGATTCACTGAACGTTTAGCTTATTTCGTGTCCTTTAAAAACGAATTTGTTCGAAATTTTGATCTTTTACATTTTAAAATGTATAGAGGTATTTAAATAAGACATTTTTTATGATAGTTAAACAGATTTTTTATGCCATTTAAGGATTCTCCTGTGTCGATCCAATCTTGGTTTTTTTCATACAGAGAACACCCTCATTTACAGTACATTTTTAAGCAGATTATTTTTTATTTAATTTTTGATGTGCTTATATAAATTGACATTCAAACGAGTAGTATCTGAATAATTAAACTATATGTTCTAAGGATATAATAAAATTAAAAATGGCCTGTGATAATAAATAATAATATAAAGGTTTAAATATACGGGGGCTACGATAATTTGAAATATAAGGTTATTATTATTAATATATTATTAACATTTTATGCTTTTGTAAAAGTTGTCCAATTATAATTGAAGGTAGGCATCAGACTGAATACTTATAACCTATTTACCTATATCTTTAATTTTATATATTATGTGAAACCATTGAGAATTTTTTACTCTTATTCCGTGCAGGGAAATAACTCAAAATTACAAGTTCGAATTTATGTTTGGATGTTGTAAAATTTTCAAAAAACTTATGTGCTTAACAATATTTACTGTGAAGAAGGGTGGTTCTTATTTTTAAAACCAAAGTTTGTACCATCACTTCACGATACTACTTAAATTATGTCAACAATTTATGTAACCGAAATATTATGGTCTTTAAGTAGGTACCTAGGTATAATCAAAAATTCCAAAAATCAAAACTGGTCAGTGAATCAGCCCGTGTATGCGTAAAATGTGTTTGACCAGGTCGATGACATTTATATCCTAATCAATACAAACATTGACGCCACCATGGTTAAAACTTCAGTCAATAATTTATATTATTTAGTTCAAACTATTTTATCGCATCGTTTACTAACTTCCGGCTGAATGTATGAAAATCTATTTTGAGTATAAATCCGTGTTTCTTAAAATCCATAAAGCCAATAAAACCGTATATATTAAAAAAAAAAAAAATAGAATCACTGATTTCCATTTTCCATTGAGTAGGTATTAAAACTTACTCTAACAGTATTGACAGGAGAAGCATGAACATATAAATGTGTACATGTTTACTTAGTAGGTGGGTGAGTGCTCACGACAACAAACGTGAGATGTCAAACACAGTAATGTTGTAGTCGTGTGTAAATTAAAATACCAAATAATGTAATAGTTTTGTCCGATATGATAATATTATTATTATTATTATATTGTTCGTCTAAGCACGTCGTTGAGGTCATTGCCGTTAGCATACTAGCAAAATATTATGTGCTGTTTATATGTTTTAATGATATTTTATCTAGTCAATATATTATTATAGTCGTGTACACGGCAACATTATTATACATTGTTATGCCGTCAACCGTTTTAGTCCATTTTTACTGCTGTTGTACCGCAGTTTTCAATTTTTAACTTATTTGAAACGGTTTTCCGTAAAAAGTTTACTATAACTTTGCTTTGGTTGATCTGCGTGATTTAAGTACACGTTAAGGGGATTCGATACCTACCGTGATTTTCTGTTTTTGTCTAACACACGCGCGACATAGTATTTTAGATGTGTTTTTTTCCAAACATACCAATTGATTTAACGAAGCGATAAGAATTCTGAAAACAGATTTGAATTTGTCGTAAAGTCTACTTGAAATCGACTTTCCCACATTTTTGATATTATCCCCTAAATTTTTTAAAATGTCATATTCAAAAAGAGTATTTAAAAATTCTGTTATTTCAAATTTTGGAGAAGTTAAAATCAAAAAATCAAAAATGTGGGAAAGTCGATTTCAAGTAGACTTGACGAAAAATTCAAATCTGTTTTCAGAAATCTTATCGCTTCAATAGATCAATTGGATTGTTTGGCAAAAAACACGTCTAAAATACTATGTCACGCGTGTGTTAGACAAAATCAGAAAATCACGGTATCGAATCCCCTTAATAATTTGTTTTATTGAGAAAAATATATTTTCAAGGAATTTATTATCAGTTCAAAATATGGATTCATAACTCATAAACATAATATATTATTCGAAGAAAAGTCCATTTATCAGAGACGAACAACATTTAATACTCGGTATAATACTTTATCATATTTGAAGATGGCTAGTATAGATTATTGATTCGTGATATCTTATTTAAAACCGCATATTATGAACGAGTTCCAGAGTAAGAATATTATTGATTTACATGAATAACTATTGATATAATATTGTGGTTAAAAAAACCAATATATTTTATAGAAGAAAACTAATGTTCAACATTAATTATTATCTAACAATAATAAAAATAAAAATAATAATTTTTATTTTTTATAGTTTTAATATGTAATACTTTATAATTATTTATTGGCCATCCAGTTAATCACAATAATTAATACAATAAAATGGCCCAATTCAACACTCAGGAATCACTAAACCCTATTATTTCATCAATTTCTTTCGAGGCTATGATCAACTATGATGAGTAAAACATTGTTTACTTAGTTAACTGTATACTACGATATGTAAGTAGAAGTTCAACATGGAAATACAGTAGTCAAATACTTAAATAATATCATCATGTGTCGTATAGCCGTATGAGATGTACCTAACAATAATGGAGTGGCCTATAATTAAAATAATATAGTAATATTGTGTTGATAAATCAAAACAAGTCATATTAATAATATTGTCTTGGTGGTCGGCAGGTCGCGATGGTCCGAGCAGCAACGCGGAAGCTTCGTTCAACGCTTGGTTTCCCATAATGTTCGGCGTTTTCCCCAACGGTGCCGGCAGCGGCAACGGTCAGTCGGGCAACTCGAACAACCGCGGTAACAGCAACCAAGGACAGGGCCAGAGTCAGGACCAAGGTAACTCGTACGGGGGCAACGGTTACGAGAGGTCATCGGGCACGACGGTGATCGCAAACAGCGTGAGCAACGGCAGACACGGTGTGGCCACCAGTCACGCGATCGCCTACGGCAATCCCAGGTCGCAAAACTGAACGCGACCATCAGTTGGAATTAGAAATACCCCAAGTTAATGATTTTGTATAGAATTAAAAGGCCTTTCTAGTTCTCCGAAATATATATATATATATTTATTTTATGATGTTAGATACCGTAAAATAGGTTAACCGCATACCAATGTATACCATACCTAATTACAAAATATTTTCAAATTATAACTATTATATATATATTTTTTTTTTTGGCATATAACAATAATCGTGTGTGTTATACTTTTAGTTGCATTTTGTAACAATAATTTGTACAATAAATCGATTAAATATGAACATAATATGTATTGTATACCTACTCCTGAAAATGTCGTCTCTTTCATTTGTTTTTAGTTTTTACAATAACCTACAATGCAGTTTGATTAGAATCGTCCTATCCATTCTCACAATAACAACATAATTATTCCCGATCTTCGTCAGAATAGTTTATAGGTTTAATGTATACATATTGCATAGTTGCATTTACATTAATTTTTATCAAGCGTGTCTTATAATAAAAATGTATCTATTTGCTATGTTTATTATTTATTGTTAGACCTTTTTGATGAAATGAATCAATTGATTTGAAATTATATTTATGTACCCTGTACCTAAATACTTTGTTTAATATTTTTACTTAGGTTTTACTAAAAAAAAATAACGTTGTTAATCATCAAGGCTGGGCAAGTTAATAATTTTTTTTAACTCAGTTATGTTAAGTTAATAATATGCACCAATAACAAAAAGTTAAAAGTTAAAAGTTAATTTAACTATAGGTTAAAAGTTAATACATACTTTTTGTTAATTTTTTATTAAGTTAAAACAAAAATAATTTTCACTCAAAACACATTTATTAATACGTATGAAACTGAAAACAAAAAGTATACGATAACTACATTTAATAATAAACTCGAATATATTCAACAGATGGATAATAATATTAAGATGTTCGTATCAGAAGACTTAACGATAAGAATTTTTAAATAGATTTTAAGTGTTTGGCATATTTTTTTTTTTCATCTGGTATAGGCCATAATATTGCATCGACTAAAAACAGCTGAATTAACGTTATTTCACTTAAATGATAAAAATAAAATAATATTAAGGAGTTTAATAAGAACATTAAAAATAGAGCAAATACAATAAAAATACTACTTGGTTATAAAATATGGGTTCCATTTAATTCAATTTTTTATTTTTATATAACAGTTAAAATTCGAAGATCAAATGTGTGTTACATCTCTAAGATTGTTTAATTCATGTGCAAATTGGAAGGAAATATAACTTAAAACCACGTTGAACAATACTCTTTGGGTTTGCTTAAATAAGATAATTTAAACGTTTTAAAATTTAAATATTATGTATTGATGCAGACAATTATATGAGTGATATATCATATTTACATTATAATAATATATTCATGCGATCAAGTTTATATAACTATCTGGAGAAGAAAAAATTAAATAAATAAACAAAATACAATTTTTTTATTTCCAACGGTTAAGCTTCACTTACTCAAAAGCAACCGATCTCAAAAACGACTTTTATGTCACACCAACGCTTAAGTCCAAGTCAATTCATCATTGCACATAAGACTCTCTTTCGTTTTATAATAGTAGTAGTAATAATAATAATAATAATAATAAGACGTTTTGATTTTTTCGAGAAAGAAGAAAATAACATTGGCCCGGCAGCGCATTAAGCACACAAAAGCGACACAAGCCCTTTTAACTTCTGAGATGCTTTTGTCAGGTATCTCCCGGTACGCTAAGCCCCGCCAAAGAAGAAGAAGAGAGTGAGACAGATGTATATACATATACATAAAGGTGCTCTTAATAGACAGATCGAGTCCCCTTAAGCTCCGAGACATTTTTAAATTATGATCTTCCATCGCCGCCGCCGCGGCAGGTATATATATTATCGAGGAGGAGATGATGGCACGGTGGCGGTGGAGTCACGCGCTTCTAATTATGAATGCGCGGCCGAGAGAACGGGTGGGAAGAAAAACGTCCCGGCGAGAGAGGAGGACACGGTGGGTCGTGGCGGGAGGGTAGAAGGGGGAGGCAAAGAAAAGAGACGTGGGTTTAGAGCTTTTGTGATGGAAAACGGCGGAAAATATTAACAAGTAAAAGATTTGAACAGACGACGCACGGTAGAGAGGCGCCGAAGGGATCAATTATGAAGTAGGATTACTACTGTACTATATACTAAAGGATGGGGTTGATGATGAAGAATGTCGTTTAAATTTCATTAATGTCAGTCTCCATTTTTATATTATATACATAATAACAATATGATGCGAGCGAACGAAATACGGTGCGAGGGGAAAGGCTATACACGGAAGAGTTTTTTTTCCTACATCGCCACACGTCGGCACGTCGCACCGTCCCACCCTCGAGATTCTTTTTGCGCGCAATATTATAAGAATTTAAGTCAGCCCCGAGCGACAACAACGATATATTAACGACCTCAGATCGTTATTGGCCATTACGCGCAGAAATAAGCCACGTCGCGGTCGTAGCCAGCCGAAAAAATTATTATTATTATTTCATTTTTTTTTATTTTTTTAAACGCTCTACGACAGTACAACACTCCAACAGCACTCGATAATATACGTCAAGTGAAAAAACGGAGTGAAAACGAAATCGGCTTTAATATAATATTTTAATTTGTGAAAATATCGATGTGAAAAATATAGTTTATTTTATACGGCGTGCCTAGTGGAGAAATATACCAACGATTTTAGCTGATCAACTCGGCTTTACCCGTGTGCAGATTTATCGTGTTATAACGTTTTGTCTTGTACTACAAGAAGAGATTGAGATCATGACAATTATTAATATTATAATTATTTATTAGATCACGTTGATTTATTTAAAATAGTTATTTCTGGGTACTATTTTAAAAGTTGTAAGGTTCGATGTCGGATTTTACTTTATCTGTCCAAGTAATCAAGAAAACCATTTATATACAAAAATAATACTAATTTTTACTATTACTATTATAATCTGTAACCAATGGCAACAATTTATTAACAAAAAAATTTTCAATTTCCATCACGAATTTCAAAATCCTTGTTTGAGAACCACTTTAATATGTGAATTTTGGAGAACTCTTTCTTAGTGGTCTCTACTACATCATAAAACGAAACTACAGACCAAATTTCATACTCATAGCTTTAGTGGTTCCGACTAGGCGATGATGACTATCTAATATATTAGCCATAAGGTACCTATATACTAACAGGTTATTATTATTAAGATTAAATTTAGACGTATATATATATATGACTATAAAATATAAGAGTTAACATACGATATTATCAAATAGTTTAAAGGTGGGTTGAACTTTTGGGTTGAAAGTTAAAAAAATTATACTAAACTTCAGGTATTTGCAGGTTCGGAGTGTTCGAAAGATAGATTGTTTTAAAAGTCAAACTGAACTGAACTCGTACAAAAACTTTGAAATTTTATAATTAATCTGAACTCCAAAATAGTTAGAACTCTAATGCTATGTAAAAACACCACAAAAAAATTTAAACACACAAACGCTTAGGAAAAAAAATGTTTCCCGTGTTTATTTTTGAATTAAAATTTTTTCTATTATCTATTTGTCGACAAACATTTTGACAGAAATGGTTTTTGAATGCAAAGGCGCATATTTTAAGCATTCATGATTAAAGTACGATCATTATTGTACATTTTTTTAAAAGTAAAAGGTTTTAAATCACCAAAAATTAAATAATAACCACAATCTAATCTAATTTAAAAGGATCAGTTAATGAAACGACATTTCTAACAAAACGTTAATATGAAACAATTCAATTAATCTCAACCAAAGTACAATATTATTGTAAGATACTACGATTGTATTATGGTACTGGTATATTTATTTGTATCACAGATAGAAGCGCGGAACGACCATTTTTAATATTTTATCAATAAAAGGCTAATTAATAAAAGAAAAATATACAATAATGTAAAAGTTGTAATTAAATACTTTTTATTTTATTTTAGGATAAAAGGTCCTAATTTTAAAACATTTTTATAATAAATAATTTATAATTTGTATTTTATTGATTTTCATACTAACTGTTACAGCAAACAATAGTTTATCATAGTTAAGAAAGCAGTTAACAAGTTGCTTTATGCGTTAGAACTCCAAGTAAAAAAAAAATGTTGCAGCACAAGGAGTAAAATATTTGAAAACAAATCTTAAAATAATTACTCTCATGTACGATTTCATAAAAATTATTGAGAACCTTTTCATTTTAAACCCACTACCCATATTTTGTTTTTGTGCGTTTTTTTAATAAACAGATTAGTAGATACTAGATATAAATAAATTTAAGTTAGAACTAATAAGACTTAAAGTAAATTAAAACTTGAACAGTATTAAATTTGTTATTTTGATTTGATATAAAACTAAAAACTTTATTCGACATTTAATTCAAAACCCCGGTTGGGGTTTAGTTCGATGTTTATACATTAAAATATATTTATTGAAACATTTTTAGTACGGTCTCGATTCGGTATTGTACGAAATGTTATCGTGTTTAAGTTCGACACCACACTGAATTCGGTTCAACATAAGATAAAAATGTACGGTTTGAGACCATATTTTTGGATCTGACTAACCTCTATCAAATATATAAGAAGTAGCCTTTAAAATAAATGAATAGTTTTCATATATTTTTTTCTACTATAATAAGATTAAACTGAAGAAGAATATTATTATAGAATAATAAAATTGCTTTAAATCTATCGGTTTTATTTGAAGTCCAATAAAAATTGAGATGTAAAAAATAAACACCATAACATCTGATGACAAGAGGAGGGAGGTTAGAAGGGCAAGAAAATGTCTTGATGACCAACTTCCCTGCCCCCTTTTGTGCCAAATTTATGTCCAACGGTCAACTTCGAGCTCTACTAAAACTTTAATATTATTACTCAAAATTACTAATTTTTAATTATATGTATATAAACTTATTATGTATGCATTAGTTGTACGTGTGTTGGTAGCTGTAAATAAACATTAAGAGATACATTGAGGTCTGCTGCACCGTAAACCAATGACATTATATTATATTTGTTCACGGTGATTTAAATGTTTTTCTTAGAATCAGTAATTAATATTTAAACCTATATTCAAAGTTCGATTAATTTAAATAATTATTATTGATCATATTTACTTGTCTTCAGGTATCTAGTGTGGGTTTTCTAGTCATTAAATATCCAATTTAAAATATTATAAAAGTACCGAATAATTCAAAATTGTATATACTTTTCTTGGTAAAAAAAAATATTACTATTAGTGCCTACACATTTCAGGATTATTTCTTCTGGAAAAAGTTTTAATAGGAATATATAATAATAATAATAATAATAATAATTTCTAAAACTAGTACATCAGCTGTCGCTTTACTCATAATTTAATATATGTATAGATACATTAATACGTTTATGCGCCGAGTAGGTCACGGGATGATGTATCTTATAAATAGTGTTCGGTTCATTCACTGTTACATAGAAAAACGTGCTCAACACGTCAACGAAGCAGTTTGATTCTAAATAGATACCTATATTAATCATGAAATGCATGGTAAATTCCATTACGGTGGAGGATGAATTTAAGACTGGACGCTAAAAGCCGACCAAGAGCAGGTAATCGAGTCAGACCCTTTGAATAATATTATGGTACCAAAGAACGAACGAAGAAAGTACAGAGATATTATAATGAAATCACTGTGCGTGTTCTCAGACAAAGGTTAATTGACTATAGAGTGAAACTTCACGATTTCATTATTAGTTAAACGAATTAAACATGTTCAATATTATGTATATTATATTCTTATAACGCGCACATGCATATCACGAAGATCCTGCAGACATATTCTGTACCTAAGTAAAAAAAAATAATTCTTGAACAATATTATTCTCGAGGAAATTATTAATTAAATACCCGCATATTAAGCTCATTCTTATGCATTATTTATTATTGATGTGAGGACACATGGTTTTGATATATTATTACAATTATTTAAGATTTTTAATGGTTCTAATATTTAAAATAATATTTATAGGATCATATTTTATTCTCAAACAAATTAATGCTGAGTTTTTATAAAAAAAAAAAATACATCAATAATTATAAAATAGGTAGTGAGGGGTGATCCATTTGACGTAAAGCACCAATTATTTAAGACCACACTTTGGTCTTTCAAAATATTATCTTTACATAATTTTTAGTCGTTACAAAACAAAATGTTTGAACATAATGACATGTTTGACTAATTTTAACTTGATAATTTTATTAAGTTTTTTATGATATACATTTTTAACTTAATTAAAATAATATTCAGAGTATTTAAATCTATTTAAATTTTTTAACAAACGGAGAAGTGGTAGTAGAGTACGATTGCACGCGTTTTACCTTTTTGGGTATACGATTGAGCTCAATGCCGGTGTAACAGAAAAACGATGCTTCCAGATAATTATACCCACCGGAGTTATGATTTTCCTAGGTTAATAATACCCCCAGTATAAATTTCCTAGGATATTAAGATTACTTCCATAGGGGTATCCATAGGGGTATGGAAAACCTGGGAAATTGATACCCCGGTATAAAATTCCTACGATATCTATACCTCCTAAAATTGCATACTCGTTGGTACCAATAACCTAATAATTTTATACCCTAGTATAAAAATTCTGAGAAGTATTGTACTATGAGTATGAATTTCCTCTGAATAAATTATCGGGGATTAAATTTTCCTATAGGTTATTTGTACCCCAGTATGAAATTTTAGAAAGTTTATAATATATATATATCCTAGGAATATTATACCGTGTGTATAAATTTCCTAGATTTTTCATACCCCAATCCCAATGGAGGTATTATTGTTCCCCCCGGTATATAATAAATTATAAGGCGGTATAAATAACCTTGGAAATTTGTACCGGGCGTACTAACGTTGCTTAGTAAGTTCCCACTAGAAACATAGCATTTAAGCGGGTACATATGTAAGTTCTCTCACGGAAAAAAATACACGCGTACCGCGTACGTATAAGTTCCCACACTAAAATTTATTTAGACTTAAGACTGACAACTTAAACTTAGTTGGTCCAAATATATAATACAAATTAATAATATAATGTGTAGGTCCACATATTATTTGTACTTTCGCAAGCGTTTGTAGTAAGACTTGTATCAGAACTAGCACTAGCCCAAATATTAGGGGAGAAACCATATAAATAATAAAATATCAGATTATAACTTAAAAATAATTACACAGTATGACTATGTGAAGTGTTTCAGTGTTTGAGCTTTCGCAATAAGCCAAATAAAATTTAATTTTTCCTGTTACTATTATTATAATTATTATAACTATTATTATTTTATACTTATACAAATAATATATGGACCATACCTACCACATTATATTATTATTTTTTATTATATATTTGGACTAGATTCAATTAAAAAATTGACTGTACATTTTTTATGCAACACAAAAACAAACAAATTTTAACCACATCAACTATATTTAATAGTTGTCAGTCCTAAGTCTGAATAAAATGGGAAGGAAGTTTGCATTCGGTGTAATTTTTTTCGTCTGGGAACTTCCGTATGCATATCCCGCATATCCGGGTGTCATTTTTAACTGCTTTACCTCGTGTGGGAACTTACATTCGCCCGTACTAACTACTAATAACCAAGGAAATTCATATTCCCCGGGGGTATGATTCGTCTGTAACATATTGGGAAAAAAAAATTATTTGGCCTAAACTTAACTGAATAACTCACTATTCACAGAAGAAAACAGTGTACAATATTTAATATAAAGAAATGGATACTAAAAAAAGTGGGAAATTGCCCAATTACTTAAGTGGGTGTCTTTCTGTTGTATAGAAGGTTACAAGTGGGTCACAAAGTATTTATACATAATTTTATAATGCAATTGTTTGAAATTGTTGTATACTTCAAGTGAAAAAATATATAAATTATTATTTCTTAGGTAATTTTACTATAAAAATAAAACTATAATGCAAATGTTCACATTATGGTATTTCTTGATAGAAGAGAAGTGTTCTATAGATACATGCATACACTCATACTAGTGTCGTGATATTATTAACATATTACCAACATTAATAGGTATATTATTAAATACAACTACATGATGTTTCATTTCAATATCGCTAGGATGCAAAGAATAAAACATTCCACGTAGACATTTAATTGTTTTATTTGATGAAATAACGTAAAATGTATAATTAATATAGCATTGAAATATAACACAGGGATTATAATTTTAAAGATGATTCGTAACAAACCTTGCACAGTGGGTAAACTAAAATGTTTATGGTAACGATAATTTAAAATTTGTGTTGAGTTTTACTATGAAAGGGATATAAAATTGTATTTCATGCGTGTTTAAGTTAGGTACATGAATTTTTAAGAAGAAGGATTGTATTGCCACTTTTTAATTTAAGCTTGATCATTCATGTAAAAGCCCAATTTGACCATTTCTTTTTAGGTACCTAGTAAGTAGACAAGACTGCTAAATAATAATTTTCAAAAAAAAAAAAAGTGACAACTGACGAATAATTCGTTTGAATTTTCAAATACAAATACGTCCAAGACAGAATTTAAAATACTTTCCAAATACTTAAACCAAAAAGTATTTAAAAAGTATTCTAAATACTATAAAAGTATTTAAATACATTTACTCAAATACTTTGCAAGAGTCAAGATTGCTAGTAAGTGCAATTCGACCATCCCGCACCGAATACTTTTATACCGGGTATAAATTACTAAAAGTTACCTTCTCAATAAAATGCAAATTATAATACTATAATATTGTACATTCGTATAAACTGTATGTAATTATAAAAACAGGTAGAGTTAATTTATATAAACTCAAATCCTTCATACTTAAGATCTGAAACTTTGGTTTCCGGAAAAAGGATCTCTCCGTTGATGGTGAACGCATTTATAAACGTGGCTGTGACGCTGCCTTCTTCTTGAGTGCTGATTGCAGTAATAACTGTATGGTTAGTTCCAGGAATAAATTTAAAGCTAGAATAACCATGGTTAGGTACTAGTTCACCTATGTATACCACCTATATAACAAAAAACAAAAGCATGACATATTATTATGTGTCGCTCTAAAAAAACATTGTATAGGTAGCTGGTGTTCAATGTGACCATTGTTTTGGACGTCTTTCAAGTTCCAACATCGAAACCAAATGATACCGTTGCACTTGTGGGAGAAAAAACTATAAACAGTATAAACGACTGATGAATGACTTGTCGGAGAAGTAACCAATGAAGTTGGCATATCAAAAATTTGTTATTTTCACTCTATTTTAACAAATAAATTGGTTATGAAGAGGGTTTTCGCAAATTAGTGTAAACATTGTTAACATAATTCAGAGGAACATCGCATTCAAGTGCATTTGGTACTAAAAAATTGAGTTTAATGACCCAAGTTTTAAGGGTACATAATATGTTGGCCCCGTGGTCATATTTTACATTTGTACCACACCTACAGAAAAAATGAAACCTACTCAGAACACTCATATACGGGTGCATTGTGCAGTATTTCATCTTAAGTGTACCTATAAGCTAATCAAAGGTGGGCATTAACTAGTTGAAAAGTTAAAGTTCAGTTAAAAAGTTAATTTTTTTTTAACTTTTTAACTTAACTAGTTAGTTTATTTTCTAATCAACTTATGAACTTAAATAGTTTAATTTACAATTGAAATAACTTAGCTTTTCTCAGTTGATTTAAAAAAATCTATTAAGTTAAAACATTTTGAAATTGTTCGTTTATACTTAAATATTACAAATTTCGAACGCTCATAAAAATTTAATTTGACTTTCTTATAGACATTTTTTTTTTGATAAAGGTAGATAATCTTATAAGAAATCTTGTATTACATTTTCAAATCTTAGATTTAAAAAGAAAAAATTTTACAAATTCTTAACTCAAAATAATTTGCTAATTTTCGTGATTTTTCCATATTTTGTCAATTTTTGAACTTTAAATGATTATAAAAAAAAATTGTGAATAAGGATTTTTAATATTTTTCCATCTGCCTTTGAAACAATATACTAGGAGCCGTCTATTAAATTTTCAAGTTTTTTTAACCAACAAATAAAATTTTATTGATATTTCTAGAAATTAAACAAAAAAAAAATGAATAATGAAAATGTCCCTAAACTGTTCAAAATAAATCAAAATATTTTGAAAATGTTATCGTGTATAGAAAATGCAAATATAAACAACCAGTGAAAATTTCATGTATATACGTTCATTTCTTTTAGAGTTACACCAAAAATCAAAATCGATTTTTTGGAAAACCGATTTTGCGTAAAAATTCCCGTTTTTCCTTAATATTTATGTTGTTTTTCCCGTTGCTTGTGAAAACTACTGGAAAATTTTTACTTTTGACCCCCCAAAGTACAAACTAGATTCACTTTCCTATCAGAAAAGATACTGTTGAAGAAAATCCAAGCACTTTTACTGTCCTAAAACGTGATGACAGACACAAAAATAAAAAAACACACATCATTGTAAAATCACTAAAATCAATACATTCATCGTTTCACTCAGAATCGAAAATAGATTAACTTGTTTTAAACTGAGTTAAGTTAATATTTTTTTCTATGTGGACTTTTAACTTATCGAGTTAATTTATAATTTGTTAACTGCTAACTTTTAACTAATCGATCTTGTGTCCTCTTAACTTAATTTAACTTGAGTTAATTATTTTCATTAACTTGCCCACCGTTGAAGCTAATTACATATATAATATTGTAATTTATTATGTTACTTATATAACAAATAATTATCAAAGGCATTTTAGTTTTTAAAAAGATACCTATTACATAGAATATTATAATAAATTAATAATAATAATATTATTATTTATTAACTAATATTTATACAATTAAAAAATCTGGCTTAAACACATTAGGTATAATATTATTTTTACCGAATTGTTATTAAGACAATAATATATAGGTACATTAATATTACATCGCCAATTATTGACTACAGATGACAAATATTATGCCATAAAACTCAAAGTAAGAACTAAGATCAAATTTTAGTATTTCTTAATAGGTAACGTATTTGTAGGCATACATAATCTAAGCACATGGTTCAGGTATTATAGGTTTTATAACTTTATAAGTTACAGTCATTGAATATAGGTTATATCACTTATATCCAATGTTTAGGTATCAAAATAATACATACCAGGTAAAGTTTTTAAATAAAAATTCAAAACATCTGAAGCATAATACTAACAGCAAAAGTCGGAAATATAAATAACCACACCTAGCAGAAAAGCCCGTCGAATGCAGCAAATTCAAAATCAAAATAAACCGATATTTTACATAGAATTTGATGAAAAGTCAAAACTTATATCACTGTATATTTCACTTGGTTCCTGTGTTGGAAATAAATAGGCAATGCTTAATAGTGTACATCATATAATATATATACGACGTACATCGTGTATTATATTGTATATACCTAGGTAAGTGCAGCATGTTATATATTGTTATTTTGTTCACCTTAACGTCATCAAAATCTGGTGAGGCGGATAACAGTACGTTCGTGCCCTTCCGTTCGTCCGTCAACTGATCGTAAGGTTCCACCGAAGCTTTTCTCGGCAAAAAGAACCATCGTTGATGCACGTCACTCCACACGACTGCCTCGTGAGTCATGTACCCCGGGAAGTGTATATCCATGGCAGCCCGGACTTTGACGAAGTTTTCAGTCCAGTTCAGGTGATGCACGCTTCCGGACTTGTCGATGATCTTCACCCACATTAACGACCGATCGACCTTCTGACCAAGTTCTCTACCGTGCGAGCCCACGTAAAGTTTTGAGTCCTTAACGGTGGCCCATTCGTTCTTCATACCTGCAATTGGTATAGTGGTAAATTTACACTCTCTATTTTTTTTTTAAAAAGCTACCATAAGTAAGTAAAAATAAAAACATTCCATGTTCAATAAACACGATCATAGCAATGTCTGGATTTTTTATTTTAACTAAAAATATATTCGTGCAAGTATGAATATTATGCATGAGTATTTTAATAATTCTACCTAGTCCCTCTCCCTACCCAGCAGAAAAATATTTTCTTATTGCAACAACAGTAACGACAAAAAGAAGATGTTATGCTTTTTAAATAGTTATTTTTTAAATTTGTAAAAATATATGATGGAATATACTATAACCTTACAAAATAAAATTTCCCTTTGATATTTCATAATGTGAATACCTGTGTATATGTACGAAATGTGTTGAAAGTTTCAAATTTTTTTGAGAACCAAATATTAATATTATTATGTTAAACAGTAAAATATACATAATATTATTGTATTATAGTACAGAAATTATAATACGGAGTTGTCCATTTAAGGTTAGACATTCATATAACTTTAGAAAACACTAACGTTTATGAAAATATTTCTTTTGCATAATTTCAAATTATTATAAAACAACACTTCTTGAACATTTTATTTTTAAACATTTTTTATCATTAAAATTATTTATATTTTTTACTCTTTTTAATAGAAACATAATATATTTTTAATATCATATTCCTAAGAATATTATTTGGAATACCTCGATCTATTTTAATTTCGAACAAACATAGTTTATAAGTTAATTAATAAACAAATTAGTAAACAAATTTATAAGTGTTTGAGTTTAAAGTTAAATAAGCTGACTAGTTAACTAACATTTTGCAGAGTACGCCTATAATTGTACCATTCCACTCCGTTCATCTAAATTTTAGATAACATCTACACGATAAAAATTCGATTTTTATGTATCGAAGTACAGTGATGGGTACATACAATAAATACATTTATACAGTTCACTACAAAAAGAATTTTAATTTATTTATATTAAGGCACAAAGACTGTCAACTACAACTGTGGGCCCTTTGTGCACCCACAATAGTTAAATATATATATATTTTTTTAGAAAAATGTTGTTTTTAACAACTAATAATATGTAAAAAAAAAAGTATATTTTCAATAAATTGTAAATCGTTTTTGAAATAATTATGTGTCTTACGCGTTTAATGGATACCTCTTTGTAAAATGTATATTATTACCTTTCGTTGTTAGTCCATTGCTGGCAGAAACCATCACCCAGGGTATCAAAACGTTGTCTTTGATTGAATAAACCAATCCAGTTTTGTCGTCTAGTGTTATAAGATTAGCATTATAGGTGACCAACTCTGATAGCTCTGATCCTCGACCGTTCTCCGACAAGTGTGATTTGATCTGATCGCCTTTATTCGTGGAATCATCCCATTCAATCGAGATATTTTTGTTTTCTGGACTATAAGTCAGATACCCCTTTTTGAAATAACTGATCCACGTAAAAGACTCGTTTGGGCTCACCGAGTTTTCGTCCAAATCGCTGATAATAGCTATGCGGTACTTTATACTGCCATCGGGCAACACTATTGGATCGGTCAGTGGGTACCTAGTATCTATAAGTTGAGTTATCAAATTGCAATTGGCATCCGAGACAGGGATTGCTGGGGCACCAAACACAATGTTGGTGGCTATCGCTGTCAAAATCACTAAACTAGTAAGTAGGATGGACTGAAACACATTACATTAATAATAATAATTATTATTCCGTTAAATATTGGATAAGGTATTAATAGAAAAATATTTCATCAAATTATTAATAAAATAAATCATGTGTTATAAGGTGTTAAATAAAAAAATGAGGTAGTGTAATGCACTTTTGTGCAATATATAAATGCAATATATGTATAAAATCGGCTGATTGGGTATTTTAGATTCTGAGTGGAACGATGAATGTATTACAAGGATGTGTGTATTTTTCAGTGTGTAAACATTTTATTTGGCGGAAGCAATTCTTCGAATTTCATCTTTAGCATATTTTCCCATGAGAAAGTGAACTTGATTGGTACTTATGAAAGATAACATTTAAGATACCAAAGTTGTTTTCAAAAACAACGGAAAAAACAAAATAATACGAAGGAAAAATGGGGATATTTAGGCAAAACCCATATTTGACGTATAAAACATATAAATTAATTCTTACCATTATTTCTATTTTCTAACAAACTGCAGTATTATTTAGAATTTATTATACACAATGTAAAAACGAGAACTCGATACAAACTAAAATGTTCCTTTTAATATTTGTGTTAGGTACTTATACGTATTCCAACTAGCATATGGGGAGACAATTATTATATTACTCATATTTATATAAACCAGTTATCAAAAATGAAAATGGTATGAGTCTCAGATAACACAGCTACTTACATCATCTTAATTAAATAAATTGCACGGATGTTATTTTTTTTATCTAACGATAAAATTGTTGATAATATTATATTCAAATCAACGCTCATTACTTTTAACAAAATCTGGACTGCATAATATTATATTAATATATTATTATTATTATTAATGATGACGTCAATATTATATTATAATGAATAAAATAATCTACAGACTTTGGATTCAGACGTGGTATCAAGCCCATATAGTTTCGGGCGTGAGGTCATTTCTTTCCATTCAAATTGTAATAATATAAGACACAATGGGCCAATTTTTTTTTTAACTCTATTTTGAGTTCTATTATTAATCGTTACAAGCGGATTAGTTAATTAATTTTTAATTTGTATGTAATAAACAAATGACAAATGAAAAGTTATATTTTGACATTTTAGCGATCACTTAAAGAGATAGCAATACTCAATAGAACATTCACAAAATTATTTATATTACATTAAAAATAAACTACGGGTTAAATAATTATCAAGCGTTCGTCATCATATGTAAATAAAATATAAAATATTTTGTATTGGATTTACTTATTAAAATAAATATTAGACACATAATATACAATTACAATTTAAAATTCTCTATTCATTGACTAATAAGTATAATAACCATGTCAAAAATTAAAAACTTCTAGTATATAAGTAAAAAAAAACAACACCAGTGAAGTTGCTCTGCTCTTTAGTAACTTGTAACTGTCGAGTGTCCTACCAACGACTTAGGTCATTGTAATCGTACTGCAGGATATGTTAAGTTGGAACTCGGTGATAAATCATTCTTTACGAAAGATGATTCTTCAATCAAAGACCATCTATGAGTCTATATTTCCAAGGAAATTATATTATTAATTACTTATATTGCTATTGGTAATTTATTTTTAGACTATTGCAACTCGTCCACCTGGTATATTCTAATTGAGACATTTCGTATAGGCTTGTAAGCTTGTTACATATATAGTGGATGACCTTTGGCGATTAATGGTGTGCTGGTACAAAATACTTAGGTGTTAAATGTCAATATGAATATATTTTTATCAAGTTAGATTTAAATGTGTGCCACAGATAAGTGCAAGATTAAGAAATATATTCCACCTTGCTCATTATAATACATCATTATCTTCAGGAATTTTTAGTATACATACAATACACTGAGTATGAAACACCATAAACTTATTTTTAAGTTGTAGTAGTAGTACTGAGTTGTAATATACCAAGTATGGAACACTGTACACTTATTTATCTTGATTTAGCACATTTTGGAATTTTTAACTTCAATTATTGGGCATATTTTCTGGTTTCTCAGTGCTAAAAATTCAAAGCCACGAATGTCATAAATTAGAAAATAATAAATAATAATAACTTACATTTTAAATCCAAAAATTCTGTGTTGACATTGAATCACATCTATATATATCATTGTTGGTAATATTTCCAAAATGTATTGATAAAAATAAATTAATTTGTATGAAATAGTTTTACTTGATAATAGAGATTAAAATTTCCAAAAACAAAGGTTTTCCGAAAAAAAAACTGAGTTTTTTTAGGAAAAATTGAGAAAAGTTGGTTTCATTTAAAATTTCCGGAAAAATTGTTTTCGCCCCCCCCCCCCCAAATCCGCCACTCATATGGGGAGACAACACTACGTGTATTTATATAAACCAGTTGTGAAATATTAAAATGGTATGAGTCTCAGATAACACAGCTGCTTACACAGTGCCGTAAAAACCGGTTAAGCTGCAAAGTGTGCACCGCAAATGGGCCTCATAATAATATATTGAAGGGTCTCAAAACATCTAAAGACTCATATTAAATTATTATAAAGTTATTAAAATATATAAATTATTTATTATTAATGTGAAAACGAAACCACTGTTATTTAGTATCTATTAAATAATTTACTATTACTGCTGTCCATGGCCCTATAAGAATTAACAAGTAGGTACATTTTTGTCAGTATTTTCATGTACCTAATACTATTAATTGTATTGTCAATAGGGTACATTCAATTATTTCGCCGAAACACATGTCTCGACGTCTCAGCTTATGGGTTTTTAGTTTTTTTGCTGATTCTTTTGAAACTTGATTTTTTTAATAATTTATAATTTATTGTGAAGCACCTGCAAAATTTTTCCATTTCATTTTTTTATATAGTATGGAGTCGTGATCACTGTTTTTAGATTTTGAGAAGAGCGAACGAATGTATTGATTTTACAAGATGTGTGCTTTTATAATTTCTTTCTTTTCTGTCATAATAATGTGCCATCAACATTTTTGGTAGTAGAAATATTCCAATATTCTAGATCAGCATATTTTCCGATAGAAAAGTGAATCTAGTTGGTACTTTTTGGAGGTCGAAATCAAAAATTTTAGTTAAAGAAATTAAAAAGCGTCAATAAAAAGAAAAAAATTTTCATTTTTACTTAATACCGATTTTTGAATTTTATTTTTTTGGTGTAACTCAAAAACTAATAACGGTAGACCTTTGAAGTGTTCACCAAATATTTATATTAACATTTTCAATAAATCGTAACATTTTCAAAATATTTTGATTCTTTTGAGTTAGTTATCACCTTGAGAAATTGTTTTATAATTATTTTCGATGAATACTTTTTCAACCAATAAAAAAGCTTTAACATTTAATCCAAGCTTCCTTACAATTTTCATTGATGTAAGTTTAAAAATATAAAAGATAAATATTGTATTATGCACAATTATTTGTATATGAATTTAAATTTCAAATTTTAACAAAATATTTTTCAGTTAAAAATTTATTAATATTTTACCTTTCATAGCTAACATTAGACATTTTGATAGATGACAATTTTGCTACCTTAAATAAAAAAAAATGTAATTGAAAGTAGCATTAATTGTATATGAGCGTTCGAATTTAAAATTATTACGATGGTATACAAATTATCTAAAGAGCCTATAGCCTAAAAGTTTGATAAATTATTATTTATCGCAGACCAAAGCTCCCAAGATAATCATTTAAAATTAACATTTATATGTATTTAATAAAAACAAAAATATAAACAACGATTAACTATACTTCTTACAGCGTCTTAATGCTAATTAGAAGTAAATTACATTACCATATCCATAAAATATTTGCAATAACTCTACACGTATACGTGTAAATTTTAATTTAAACACTTCAAGATTAAAATTTCTTTAAAGAAATATTATATACATACGACAAAACAACGATAATACTTTGGAAGTAGCCCATTGGGCTCCCGTTTCTCAAAAGGTCAATTTTATTACCAAACGGATCCAATTTTTTGCAACACAAATTTCTCTCTGCTTCAAACAGACTTAGGACTGTCTTAAAATAGGTGAGGTTAAAACTGTGATGATGTTTTTTAAATTTAATATTCTTTGTAAATTATAAAAATGATATGAACAATAATTATTGAATTATGTAACTATTTGATATTATAAATTAAAAATTAAAAAAATATTGGATATTATAAAATATGTTGGAGTTTTTTTTGAACATTTAAGCGTTGAAATAGAAAAATATATGTATATATAAAAATTATACTTTGAAACATTTTCGACGAAAGTGGTTTGGGAAAAACCAAACAATGTCTGGGAGCTGTTTAGTATACACTGAATACTTTTATACCAGGTATAAAATACTAATAGTTACCTATAAGTACTCAATCAAATGCAAATTATAATATTATAATATTGTACAATGTACATTGTACATTCGTATAAATTGTATATAATTATAAAAACAAATGTAGTTAATTTATAAAAAAATAATTTATATAAACTCAAATCCTTCATACTTAAGATCAGAAATTTTGGTTTCCGGAAAAAGGATCTCTCCGTCGACGGTGAACGCCTTTATAAACGTGGCTGTAATGGTGCCTTCTTCTTGAGTACTGATCGCAGTAATAACTGTATGTTTAGTTCCAGGAATAAATTTAAAACTAGAATAACCATGGTTAGGTATTAGTTCGCCAATGCATACCACCTATATAACAAAAATCAAAAGCATGACGTATGATTAAGTGCTGCTCTAAAGAAATATTGTATAGGTAGCTGGTGTTATTAAAATAAGGTTTTTTTTTTTTGGTTATATAGCTTATATAACTTATATCCAATGGGTAGATATCCAAATAATACATGTCAGGTAAAGTTTTAAAATAAAAATCAAAACAACTTTGAACTTAAGTATAAAACTAACAGCAAAAGTATTATATACGATGTATATAGCGTATTATATACCTAGGTAAATGCAGCATGTTATATATTGTTATTTTGTTCACCTTAATGTCATCAAAATCTGGTGAGGCGGATAACAGTACGTTCGTGCCTTTCCTGTCATCCGTCAACTGATCGTAAGGTTCAGCCGATGCTTTTCTCGGCAAAAAGAACCATCGGCAATACACGTCACTCCACACGACTGCCTCGTGAGTCATGTACCCCGGGAAGTGTATATTCATGGCAGCTCGGACTTTGACGAAGTTTTCCGTCCAGTCCAGGTGTTGCACGCTTCCGGACTTGTCGATGGTCTTCACCCACATTAACGACCGATCGACCTCCTGACCGTTCGCCGACACCACTTCATAGCCGTGCGAGCCCACGTAAAGTTTCGAGTCCTTAACGGTGGCCCATTCGTTCTTCATACCTGCAATAGGCATCGGCGTAACTAGGAGGGGAACTTAGCGGGGCTTAGCCCCCCGGTACTTCTATTTAGGCCCCCTATAAGGTTTTACTTTTTAGCCCCTCCTTAAGTTCGTAGTTAAAACTCAAATCGTTACGAAAAAAAAATAATAAATTAATAATTATTATATTATAAAATATGATATAATATAATTGACATTGTGTACTGTGTAGGTATGTTTCAAGTACGAATTTATCGTAATTGGTCATAGTTTTCGAGGAAGACATATTGTGTTTATGTGTTTAAAGCACGAATTAAGATATACCTTTAGTATAGGTATCTTAATTAATGATTTAAGGTTTATATAGCTTATCTGCTATTGCATATTAGCTTCAAGCTTACCTATATAACGCCCTTACTATATATGATATTATATATTATTACCTTTAAATAGGTGCCCGTTTCCAGTATTGGTATAAGTACCTATTCTTATAATACTATAGTTACTTATATTAGTAGAATCGCACTTTCGTACAGTGGTTGATTACTATTATAATAGAATCATTTTATTTTGCAAATCTCAGTTTTTAATTTATAGTGGGTCTGTGAAGACTGCAAAGTAGGTAGGTACTATTACAGACTGTCACAGCCGTTTTTTTATTTTTGAGTACGTATACAGTATACGTAAGAACGTTGGATTTTAATATTGTATACAATCATCAAAATTTTCAGTTTATTCAAATTAAAAAAATCAAAAAGTTTTAAGAACGAAGATGACCCAAAAAAATTATGGTTTATATTAAATTTGGGTTTTAGCGGACTTTTTATAACAACTAAATTTCAGTGAATCTTATAAGGGTTGTGTGGGAGGCTTTCCCCCGACGTGTTATTTTACACTTTGATTTTGTAGGACTCTAGCCCCTGTAACTATTCAATCCTAGTTACGCCCATGGCAATAGGTTCCGTGGTAAATTTTAACTCTATTTTTTTTAAAAAACATAAAAGCTACTATAGTAAGCTACTAAGTAAGTAAAAATAAAAACATTTCATGTTCAATAAACACGATCATAATTATGTTAGCAGGGATGGAAAACGTTTTTAATTTTTTCGATTTCGTTTTTGTTCGTTGACTTAAAAAATATGACCTGCAGAAACTTCTCATCTTTCAGATAAAAAAAAATTAACCAAAATCCGAAACATCAACGAGGCATGAGAGTTATTCCTGTGAAACCATTTTTGTTCATCAAAATAGTGTTTCGATAATAATCATCGAAGTCTAGCCTTGACTTGTGCAAGCGCGTGAGTACATATCTTTAATTATAGCTAATTATAGCTCACTCACACTAATATCGATTTACATTCTCACACACATGAGGGGCCGATACAACATGTGAAATAATTGCCTAAATTATGCTCCTAAATAAATGACCGGCATCGTCACCCTTAAAAACGTTATCTTCCTATTGTTTCTAAATAACGTTTTTGATAATATTATTTTTTTTATATAATAACTTATAACTTTTAAGTTAGAATAGTAACGCTCAATATTGAAATGCACTTAAAAGTTAAAAATTAAAACTAATTATTCTTAATATTTTTTAATTTTAATCAAAATTATAATTTATATAAAAATTAGAAAATTCAAAATTTCTGATTTCAAATTAAAATGTTTTAAAATGTTAAAAGTGCATTGGTCGAGATTATAAAGTAAAGACAAGTGAATTTTTTTTCAAAATTTTTTATTCGTGTTATAAATAATTGAATAATGTATAATACTATAATTTATTTTCGTTTTTGTTTTTGATTTCGTTATTACATTTTTTCGGTTTTTGGGATTTTTTTGTTATCGTTTTTCATTTGTTTTTGTTTTTTTTTCCGCTTAATAACGTTTTCAAAGTTATTTTTTTAATTTAAAATATATTAGTGCAAGTGTGAATATTATGCATGAGTAATTTAATAATTCACCTTATCCCTCTCCCAACCCAGCATAAAAAAAAAATATTTTCTTGTTGTACCAACAGTAACGACAACAAGAATATGTTATGCTTTTTAAATAGTAATGATTTTAAATTTGTCAAAATATGTGATGGAATATATAACCTTACAAAATAATAATTCCCTTTGATATTTCATAATGTGAATAAATATGTTTATGCACTAAATGTATTACAGGTTTTAAATTTTTTTGAGAACCAATTGTTAATATTTTTTTTGTAAAACAGTAAGTACCTAGTATTATTGTATTGTAGTACAGAAATTATTATACGGAGTTATCCATTTAAGGTAAGACATTCATACAATTTCCGGAAACGCTAACGTTTATGAAAATATTTCTTTTGCATAATTTCAAATCGTTATAAAACAACACTTCTTGAACATTTTATTTTTAAAAATTTTTTTATCATTATATTTCTTTATATTTTTTACTAATTTTTATAAAATCATACATTTTTAATATCATACTCCTAAGCAGAATATTATTTGGAGTACTTCGATCTATTATCAAAATCTAATTTCGAACAAGCATAGTTTTTTAAGTTAGTGAGTGTTTAAAACTTTAAAGTTCAAAGTTTAAATGAGCTGACTAACATTTTGCAGAATACGCCTATTGTACCATTCCACTCTGCTCATCTACATTTTAGAAAACACCTACACAACCAAATTTCGAATTGTATGTATCGAAGTACTCCAAAAAAATATTCTACTTTGGGATAAGAAAAATTAAATATGTAAGTATTACAATTTAATAAATTATGACGATGTAAAATAGTTGTTGCTTTTAATATATTTGTTTTAATTTTGTTATTGCATTTGGCGCCATTACTGTTTGAGTATCTATTGACATGGCGCTGCCCGTTGGCAGCACTGAGTGTTATCGATCGACAGCTGAGGTGATAGGGATTGAAAATACGTTGTAATGTTTTTAGTTCTTGTGAAATTAAAAGTTTCTTGTTTTTGTTTTGTCAATTGTACGGACAATAGCGTTTTGTTGAAAATGTAGAAAATGTTTTGGTTGCTGTGTTCTTCGCATTAATTCGTTGGGTATCTATTGTTCAGCAACTCTAACTATATAGTACGTTTTGCTTATATGTTATATTATTAATCTAAGGTTATTATTATCTAAGGTTAATAGTAAAGTACTGGCACTTGCCACTTAGTGTCTGTGGGTCCAGCAATGTAAATTTACGTGGTATATTTATATATATATAATTAGCTCTGTGATTTCTCAAATCAGTTTATGTAATCGTATGTGCTACAGCACGTCATACAATTAATGATATTACTATTATTATTATCAACTTGGGCCCCGAGTGCCGTATATTATTATTATTTTGCATACATTTAGCCATTTGAGTTAAGTGTTATTATCACTATTATTATTATTGCATTTATTAGTGGTGCCTTCTAGGTTGTACAATGTAGTATGTACCTATTGTACCTATATAATTATTATAACATTTATGGACTTTCAAGCTAATTATCATTTATTTTTTAAATAAATATCTTTAAGGATTTATACTTGCCAACCAGGCAGCTGATATTATTATTATTATTATGTATGTATATATTATAAAATGATTGCAACTTCTTAAGTACAAAAACTATATTAATTTATTTATATAAGAGTGACAAAGACTGTCCTCTACTACCGACGGCCCTTTATGCGTCTACAGACTACAATAGTAAAAATATATATATTTGTTTAGAAACATTTTTTTTAACAACTTAATATTATGTAAAAAAAAGTTTATTTTCAATAATTTGTAAACAGTTTTTGAAATAATTATGGGTCTTACGCGTTTAATGGATACCTTGATACCTCAGTGTAAAATGTATTTAATTACCTTTCTCTGTAAGTCCATTTCCGGCAGAAACCTTCACCCAGGGTATCAAAACGTTGTCTTGGATAAAATAAACCAATCCAGTTTTGTCGTCTAGTGTTATTAGATTGGCATTATAGGTGACCAACTCTGATAGCTCTAATCCTCGTCCGTTCTCCGACAAATGCGATTTTAACTGACTGCCTTTACTCGTGAAATTATCCCATTCAATCAAGATATTTTTGTTGGCTGGACTATAAGTCAGGTACCCCTTTTTGAAATAACTGATCCACGTACAAGGCTCGTCTGGGCTCACCGAGTTTTTGTCCAAGTCGCTGATAATAGCTATGCGGTACTTTACACTGCCATCGGGAAACACTATTGGATCGGTCAGTGGGTACCTAGTATCTATAAGTTGAGTTATCAAATTGGAATCCGAGACAGGGATTACTGGGGCACCGAAAACAATGTTGGTGGTTATCGCTGCCAAAATCACTAAACTAGTAAGTTTGATGGACTAAAACACATTACATTAATAATAATTAGTATTCAGTTAAATATCGTGTTAGGTATTAGCAGAAAAATATTTCAAATTAGGAATAAAAATAAATCATGTGTTATGCGATGTTAAATAAAAGAAATGAGGTAGTGTACATTTGTGCAATATACAGTATAAGGAAATCGGCTGATTGGGTATTTTAGATTCTGAGTGGAGCGATGTGTGTTTTTTTTCTGTGTCTAAATATTTTATTTGGTGGAAGCAATTCTTTGTTATTGTTTTCTAATGGGAAAGTGAACCTGATTTTTACTTATGAGAGATTACATTTAAAATGCACAGTTGTTTTCAAAAGCATAGGGAAAAACAAAATAATATTAAGGAAAAATGAAGATTTTTACTCAAAACCAGTATAAGAGTATAAACCTTATAAATAAATTCTTACCATTATTTCTATTTTCCAACAAACTACAATATTATTTAGAATTTACTAAACACAATGTAAAAACGAGAACTCGATACAAAATAAAACGTTGCTTTTATTATTTGTGTTATTTATACGTATACCAACTATCATATGGGGAGACAACACTACCTACGTGTATTTATATAAATCAGTTATGAAAAATGAAAATAGTATGAGTCTCAAATAACACAGGTGCTTATATCATCCTAATTAAATAAATTGCACAGATGTTATTTTTTTAACTAACGATACAA